CTTCACCTGACGAAGGGGCAGCGCTCCAAAAGCTTGTGATTTCAAATAAACTTGTTGGACTATAACCTGGTGTTGTGTGACCTCCGACCTTCTCTGGTGGTAGTATTTGTTGTGATTGTTAGAAATTTGGAACGTTTGCATTTGTCTTGATGAGGGCAAGACTGGCTACATGTCTCATTCAAGTTCCATCAAGTGACTGTTAGAATTACATACTTGGGTGTGCCTTCCAGTTTTCCATAAAGCCAGCCATTTTTCGCTTCGGGGACCAATATGGCAATAATATCTCCAGTTTCAAAACTTAACATGGTCCGATTGCTGCCAGCAGAGTGAGAGGCAATGGCCTGAACACGAGGACTGACTGTTGCGTTAATCTTTTCTCCAAGTGAGCTAGCCCTTGACAGACGCCCCTCGGAGCCTGCTCCTGAGGAAACAAAAAACAGATCTCATCAGTCCCTGGGTCTACATGTCCCTGCAGCCATTAACCATTGGACCATCTCCACTTCCAAAAAGTTCCACAGCCCCCTTAGGCTTCCTGCTCATATGTATCACTCTGAAATTACAGCAGCAACAACAACATTGGTCATAACATTGAATCTAGTAGTTGGGAGGTCATGGTGCGGTTGTACAGGACATTGGTTAGGCCACTTTTGGAATACTGCTTGCAATTCTGGTTTCTCTGCTATAGAAAGGATGTTGTTAAACTGGAGAGGGTGCAGAAAACATTTACAAGGATGTTGCCAGGGTTGGAGGGTTTGAGCTGTAGGGAGAGGATGAATAAACTCAGGCTATTTTCCCTGGAGCATCACAAGACTGAGAGGTGACCTTACAGAGGTTTAAAATCATGAGGGGCATGGATAAGGGGAAAAGACAAGGTCTTTTGCCTAGGGCGGGAGAGTCCAAAACTAGAGGGCATAAGTTTAAGGTGAGGGGAGAAAGATTTGAAAAGGACCTGAAGGGTAACTTTTTCACGCAGAGGGTGGTGCGTGTATGGAATGAGCTGCCAGTGGAAGTGCTGGAGGCTTATACAGTTACAACATTTAACAGGTACCTGAATGGGTACATGAATAGGAAGGGTTTAGAAGGATATGGGCCAAATGCTGGAAAATGGGACTAGGTCAGATGGGGATATCTGGTTGGCATGGACTGGTTGGACCGAAGGGTCTGTTCCCATGCTGTATGACTCTATAACTTGCATTTAAATAGCACCCTAAATGCAATTAAACATCTTAACATACCTCAGAGACATGTTATAAAGCAAATTTTGACACTCAGCAACTCACAGAGACATATCTGGGGCTAAGTGCACGATCAAAGAGATGGGTTTTAAGAAGCATTTTAGGATGTGACGCAAAGGTTTTGGGTAAGAACCCCAGAAGCTGCAGCCTCATCAGCTGAAGGCACAGCCACCAAAGGGTGAGAGTTGATCAAAGGGCCAGAATCATGTGAGTAAAAATATTTCGGAGGGACGAGTGGCAGGAGAATAGGAGATAGAGAGCGGCGAGGCTGTGGGCAAAGCAGAAAGGGAAAATGTAAAATGAGATAACAAGGTGTAGAGCTGGATGAACACAGCAGGCCGAGCAGCATCAGAGGAGCAGGAAGGCTGACGTTTTGGGTCTGGACCCTACTATCAGGGAAAATGTAAATGCAGGTCAGCAAATACAGGGGGGATGGGTAAATGGCATTGTTGGCAGTAATCACAGAGGGTAAAATGTACACCAGGGCTTTTAGCAGACTCATTGCCACATTGGTATGGTGCCCTCTTATAGAAAGCAAAATGGACATCTACGTTTATTTATTATCGTGACACTTCTCAGAAATATCTGGAAGGGTATCAACCAGAAGTAATTCTCTGGTGGGCCACCTGACCACCGTTACATTGGCCAGTACACAAGAATAGAAATAGACTTGCGTTTAAACAGCACCTTTTACAATCAAAGAGGCATTGTGCAACCAATGAAGATGTTATGTAATGAGCTCACCGTTGTGACACTGGGAGCTCAGCGGTCAATTTGTGGACAGCAAGCCCTGACAGAGAAGACCATTTGATTTCGCTGACGTTAATAGAGGGATAACTACTGTCCAAGACGAAAGATCCAGATCAAAAAGTGTTAAGAGATTGTGTGAAAGACGGACATCATTTGGCAACTTTCTGGCTTCGAAGAAAGCAGCAGCAAAGGAGGGTCCAGACCCGAAACGTCAGCTTTCCTGCTCCTCTGATGCTGCTTGGCCTGCTGTGTTCATCCAGCTCTACACCTTGTTATCTTATATTAACAAAGGATTATCTTTCCTTCACACACTGGATGAGTTGCTGTTTGTCCTGCCGGGGGGGGGGGGGGGGGGGGGGTGGGGGTTTGAGGGGAGGGCGGGTGTGGTGGTGGTGGTGGTGTCCAGAACAAGCCTCAGGATTAACATTAGACCATTTCAGACTGAAATGAGGGAGCGACGTCTTCACTCAGGGGCTGGTGGACCCTGTGGAATTCTCCACCACAGAAGGCTGTGGAGGTGAAGTCACTCAATATATTGAAGAAACAGACACATAGGTTTCTAGAAGCAGAAGGCCTGATGGGTATGAGGAGAGACCAGGAATATGGTGTTGAGATAACGGTTCAGCCATGACCATGTTGAATGAAGGAGCGGGTCAATGGGCCAAATGGCCTACTTCTGCTGTTATTTTATGTGAATCAATGTCTTCAAAATATTGATGATGTTTTGAAGTGAAATAAATATTTATTATATAATTTTAAGGGAACTGATATCGAGTTAATGGACATTATGCATCATAAGAAAAGGAACATTATAACATCTAAACTGGAAGTAAGTGTGTTTCTTTGAAAACTTTGTGGCCAAGTTGGTAGGCTGGGCAGATAGACTGCAGAAAGTCAATGTGGAGTCGTGTGAGGTGATGCATTTTGATTAGAAAGAACTTGAGCAGGCAATATGAAATAAGGACATCAAATCTTAAAGGGACGTAAGATGTGGGTTTATGTGTGAAAATGGCAGGGCAGGCGGCGAGAACCATTTAAGGATAAAGCAAATTGGATTTTATTATTAGGCAAACAGTACAAGAGCAAGGAGGTGAACTTGCGCAAGACACTTGTTAGATCTCAGTCGGAGTACTGTGTAAAGTTCTGGCCACCACACTACAGGAAGGATAGAAACACATTGGAGAGAGTGCATTAGCGATTTACAGAAGTGGTTCCGAGGATGAGAAACTTCAGTTGATGATAGATTGGAGAGTTTGAGTTGTTACTCTCAGGGAGGAGAAGGCTGAGGGAAGATCTGATACAAGTTTCTAAAATCTCGAGAAGCCTGGATAGAGGAGAGCAGGAGAAACTGTTCCCGCTTGTAAAAGGACCGAGATTGAGGGGCACAGATTTGAAGCAAATTACAAAAATAGCAAATATGATGTAAGAGAAACATTTTTACATTTCAGGCCTGGAATGCACTGCCTGGTGGTAGCAGGTTCAACTGCAGCGATCAAGAGGTCATTGGATCATTATCTGACCAGAAATAATTTGCAAGGGTAAAAGAGGAAAGGCAGGCACTAAGTCATAATGCTCATTCGGACAGCTAGTACAGTCTCAATGGGCTGAGCGGCCTCCTTCTATGCCATAACACTTCTATGATTCTGAAATGAAGAGTGGGGTTATATACGGGTCTGTTTGCACGTGAGAACCCTGGATTTGTCTGACATACAGCAAAAATGTGTAACAGGATGGAACGTCCGTGTATTTGAGAAGAAGAACATTGTCTTTTAAGATTGCTTGACGCCAAAAAGAGAGAAAGCCAACTGCAAGAAGCAGAAAGTACTAGTTATAAGATTGTAAAAATAATTCTTTAAAAGATTGCAACTTGTCTACTTTACATCATCAAACTTGCTTGATTTTAAAAACGAGTCAAATTAGAAGGAGAAAAATATTTTGTCTCTCTTGCTGGCCATATCCCTCTGTCTCACCAGTTTAAGCAAATAATGAATTATAACTGCTATAAGAAGCAAATTAGAGAATATATTAGCTTCAAAATTGGTGAAATGGGATCATGAGTGGGACTGGAGCCACCATACCATGACCAGACCATGGGTTTTCTTGCTAGATTACTAGTCCAGTGACATTACACTACATCGCGATAACAGTAATGACACAAATGGAAATACAGTGGACAAATACAAACAAGATGTGAAGTATACATCATTTCTGTTTCTTTACTCTTAACTTTAAACATTAGAAAAACCAGTTACTGAGAAAAAACAATTTGCACCAAAGCATTTCTCAGGCAAAGATAAAAAGTGATGGCCTACTGGTATTAATCACTGGACTGTTAATCCAGAAGCACAGATAATAGAATCCCTACAGTGTGGAAGCAGGCCATTCAGCCCATCGAGGCCACACCGACCTGCCAAACAGTATCCCCTATCCCTGTACCCTGCATTTCTCATGGCTGACCCACCCAGCCTGTACATTCCTGGACACTATGAGCAATTTCCCATGGCCAATCCACCCTAACCTGCACATCTTTGGACTGTGGGGGGAAGCCGGAACACCTGAAGGAAACCCACACAGACACGGGGAGAATGTGCAAACACCACACAGACAGTCGGCCAAGGCTGGAATCGCATCTGGGTCCCTGATGCCATGAGGCAGCAGTGCTAACCACTGAGCCACTGTTCTACGCACCAGGATCCAAATCCCGCGCTGGCAGATGGTGGAATTTGAACTCAATAAAAAAATGGAATTAAGAGTCTAATGATGACCATGAATCCATTATCGATTGTAGGAAAAACCCATCTGGTTCACTAATGTCCTTTAGGGAAGGAAACTGCCATCCTTACCTGGTCTGGCCCCACATGTGATTCCAGACCCACAGCAATGTGGTTGACTTATAACTACCCTCTGGGTAATTAGCAACAGGCAATAATGCTGGAGTAGCCAGCAGCGCCCTCATCCCGTGAATGAATGAAAAAAAGGTCATGAAACTGTGTTACCCAGTTGTTAGATTGTACAGTAACAGGGTAATAATGCCACATTGGAATTTCTAATGGAAAAAGTTGATACAAAAGAACAATGAATGTGTTTCAGTAGGAAGTACTTGAAGATGCAAGATTATGAGTAAAATATGAAATATACAACATAGAACTGTACGGCACAGGAATGGGTCCTTCGGAGCTACAAAGATAGTGGGAATATGCAAATAAGAAGCTCCTGAACATCTTACTGGGTGAGGCATTTCTTTCTTGTCTGTGGTCTGAGTATGGATACATGGTCACTTCTGCCCCATTTAATTCTCTTCTCGATGACTGAGAGCTGGAAACATAGCTGTACCTCGAGATGTTATCATCATTCTGTGGGTGCAAAGTTTTGGGAAAGAAAAACACAAAATCCATCAGCAAGCTGTGTCCTCAACTTTCAGACAATTTGATATCCAACAGTAGTACATGATTCAGTTACAGTCCTGTAGCATGAGGTCAGTGATTGCTCATTGGCCCATTTCCTGCACCTGAACTTTTTTTTTAAATATAGAATCCCTAAAGTGTGGAAACAGGCCCTTCAGTCCACACCAACCCTCAGAGCATCACACCCAGACCCATCCCTCTATAACCCAACAAATCTACACATCCCTGAACACTATGGGGCAATTCAGCATGGCCAATCCACCTAGCCTGCACATCTTTGGACTGTGGGAGGAAACCACAGCAAACCCACACAGACACAGGGCAAATGTGCAAACTCTACGCAGACAGTTGCCCAAAGGTGGAATTGAACCTGGGTCCCTGATGCTGTGAGGCAGCAGTGCTAACCAGAGAGTCACCCTCTTGTGACAGAATAGTGTATATACTGCAGAGTAAAACTTAATTCGAGAAACTAGTATAAGGCAATGCATCTGAAAGGGTTAATGTTGGAGACTGCACACTAGCTCAAGATCCTGATGGGATTAAATATTTCATCCCTGTCTCCTGATTGTCACTGTAACTAGCCAGTGCACTAGCCTGTTGTTATCATGCAGTAAACTACATCGAGTCATAGAGATGTACAGCATGGAAACAGACCCTTCGGTCCAACTCGTCCCTGCTGACCAGATATCCTAAATTAATCTAGTCCCATTTGCCAGCATTTGGCCCATATCCCTCTAAACTTTTCCTATTCATCTACCCATCCAAATGCCTTGTAAATGTTGTAATTGTACCAGCCTCCACCACTTCCTCTGGCAGCTCGTTCGATACACGCATCACCCTCTGTGTGTTGCCCCTTAGGTCTGTTTTATATCTTTCCCCTCTCACCTTAAACCTATGGCCTGTAGTTTTGGACTCCCCCACCCTGGGGAAAAGACTCTGGCTATTCTTTATCTTTATTCTTTTCCTATCCATGCCCCTCATGATTTTATAAACTTCTATAAGGCCACCCCTGAGCTTCTGACACTCCAGGGAAAATAGCCCTAGTCTATTCAGCCTCTCCCCATTGCTCAAACCCTCCAACCCCAGCAACATCCTTGTAAACCTTTTCCGAACACATTCAAGTTTAACATCCTTCCCATGGCAGGGAGACCAGAATTGAATGCAGTATTCCAAAAGTGGCCTAAGCAGTGTCCTGTACAGCCTCAACATGACCTCCCAACTCCTCTACTCAATGCACTCACTCAGGCGCCTCTTCTTGTTAAGACTCATTAGGGTTCATCCTTTATTATTAACTCAATAGGTCCTTGAACACAGTATAGAGAAATACCTATAGTTGTGGTTGACTGGTTAAGGTGAAGGATTAGGAAATCTGCTGGGGGTTTGCTAGCAGGTTCAAGTCCTGCTCACTATAGTTCCTGACTTTGGGTACCCTCTTGTAGTGCAGTGGTAAAGTCCCTACCTCTTGACTAGGAGGCCCAGGTTCAAGTCTCACCAGATCCAAAGTTGTGTAATAACATCCCTGAACAGGTTGATTAGGAAAAATAGGTTAAACAAAAAAGATTATAGAAAAGAGGATTGAGGGTTCTTATGGCACAGTGGTAGTGTCCTGAATTTGAGGTAGAGTCCAGAGGTGTCTCTGAACTGGTTGATTGGGAACATATCTAGAAAGCAGGATCTCTTTGAGCTTAGTTTTTGTTTCATTGTCTATTAGGAAGTGTCTAACCTGTTTAATGTTTACTGTAAAAGAGTTGGTAGGAGGACTAGTGGTACGCTGTACCAACCAGTGTCTGGTAGTGGTGCACCTATAGCACTTACAACAGATAGCACACAGGAGTCTCCAATTATAACCCACAATTCACATCTCCCTCACCCCTGTTGCCTGTGAACACTACTGTGGTTCTTTTGGGGCAGGCGGGGGTAACAAACAGAAATGTTAGTTTTCCCTTCTCATACAATGTACAATATCCAAAGGCCTTGCAACCAGTAATGTGCCTTGCCCTACATTATCTGGAAAGGTGCTGCAGAACTTTCGTTAAACACAAATGCAGACAAAAGATTTGGAAAATGATTGGTGTGGGATGGTGCCTTACGGTTTTATCGATGAAGCAAAACACATTTTGTCAAAGTATTTCATCTAACCCTGATCAGGTCAAACCACAATACCAATTTAAGGGGACAACCAATAATGATAACGCATGAAGGAAGATTGCTGATTGGCTGGAAACTGGATCCCGATTGGCAGAGGTATTGCCTTGGGCAATGCACCAATTGATGATGACTGACAGCTAACTGTCAGGCGTAGTTTAAATTTGAAGGCAAGCAGGTTGACTCTGATTGGTCAGGGCATTGTCCTGAGAAATAAACTATCGAATGGCTGTTACCTATTTTTGCTGAGTTGAAACAGGCGCAGTGTGCACATGTTCTTTCAGTCTGCAAAGTAAAAGGGCCTGTAACTCCCAGTACAGGCAAGTATACCCCATTCAAGAGCTCAACTGAAAATCCTAAATTGGTTGTCAGGCTAATGGCTCAAGAATTTATCTAAAGCCCTAGTACAGGGATCAGCGATCTTAACAACAAGAGTCAAATTTAGTCAAATCCATGATAGGTAAAACTCCTAGGAATAGGAAATTGGGCATTTTTTTCTTCTTTATTCATTCACGGGATGAGGGGCATTGCTGGCCAGGCAGTATTTATTGCCCATCGCTAATTGCCCAGAGGGCAGTTAAGAGTCAACCACATTGCTGTGGGTCTGGAGTCACATGTAGGCCAGACCAGGTAAGGATGGCAGTTTCCTTCCCTAAAGGACATTAGTGAACCAGATGGGTTTTTCCCAACTACTGGACAATCCAACAGAAGACATTAAGGAAACGCCCTTCTTTCGGTTTTCTACTTCCTTCTTGTTACTAATGCAAATACACATGCCTCTAAGATATTGGCACCACCACAGTCATGTGTCTGCTGCCTTTATCCTTTTGATTTGGAAGGTGTTCTCGAAGGAGATTTGGTAAGTTTCTGCAGTGCACCTTATAGATGGCGTTAACCGTGCATCAGTGCTGAAAGGATGAATGTTAACAGGGGTGGATGGGGTGCCAATCAAGAATTTGTCCTGGATGGTGTTGAGATTTTTGAGTGTTATTAGAGCTGTGCTCATCCAGGCAAGCAGAGAGTATTCCAACTCCTCCTGACTTGTACCTTGAGGATGGCAGACAGGCTTTGGGAAGATCTGTCCATCAAATTCCCTGACCCCCTGTCTATCAGGAGCCAATGATCATAGCCATTCGACTGATTCCTTGCCCTGTTCTAATGAGTTCGGCTAACTTAGTCACCAAACGGGACAATCAGAGCTCCATTTAGAAGCAAAATACTGCAGATCCTGGAATCTAAAAATCCTGAAAATCACACTGGGTTAGGCAGCATCCATGGACAGAGAGAAAGGTAATGTTTTGAGTCTAGATGACTCTTCATTAGAGCTGTTCATCCACTCTAATGAAGATTTGTGTAGACCTGAAACGTTCGCTTGCTCTCTCTCCACAGATGCTACCCGACCCGCTGTGATTTCCAGCGTTTTTTGTTTTCAATCAGAGCCCCACCCTAGAAAACGATTAAGAAGGAAAATGACCTTCCAATTTGCTGATTACCGTATCGAGAGACATTACCATGGAAGAGGGCCGTGGGCTTGCTCTGCCAAAGACATTTCCAGATGATGCTGGGCTGCTGTGTTCTCTCCACCCTGGGACTTTACTGTGGAGAACTTCACGAGCCTGAAACAGAGAACAAAGATCAAGATAAAGCACAGCAACCCAATGCTTCATGGTGGGGCGATCATTTCAGTCTTACAACATTGCCAATCATGTAACCCTGCAGGGGGATCAAGGGATGAACAATAAATGCTAGCCAAGTTAGTGACACCCAATCCCGTGAATGATTAAAAACAAGAATGGTTTACTGACACCCACACACTGTTGAGTATTATCAACAGCACACAGGCACACAGCACTGAGACAATTACTGTCATTATTGAACTAAAATTATCTTAATTAATACAGAGAAAGAAGTGTTGGACTTTGTCTATACAGCTGATTTATAATTAGCTTGCTACAGTCATATTCTATGATAGGTATCTTCTAAGCAGCCTTTTACAGGGATGTTATGACACACCTCTGGAGTAGGTGGGACTTGAACTTAGGCCACCTAGCTTAGAGACAAGGACATTACCACTGCACCATAACAGTCCTTAATGTTTTGAGTCAGCTTGTTCAGACAATACATCTCCAGGAAGGTGGGACATGAACATCTGGGCCAGAGGATAGGGTGCTCCCACTGTGTCACAGGGGCCCAAAGTTTGATTAATTGCATCGTCGCCGTCTGCTAGCTACATAAAACCTCACATTCATAATTCACAACATCAATGAGTGTGCGCCTACAGTATCTTTTGGCTGCGCTTAGTTGGTTAGCCCTTTGAAGAGATAGTAGTTGTGCAGACATTCAGATGAAAGGCTAATATACAGGTCCCTTTGTGTGAATGAGCATAGCCCAAAGAAAAGGGCCTTTGGGAAGGCCATGCACACCAAGGAATCTCCATACAAAGTAAATCTACACTCAAACACATGGCAACAGGTGGAAAGTACCTCAGCGATGCCAGTACCTTAGTAGATGACCCAGCGGGCTATTGATCCCAACAAACCAGATCATCCATTCAAGCATCCATGGTCAGGCCAGCATCTATGGTCTATCTCCTAGCTGTCCTTCTGAAGATGCTGATAAGCCACCTTCTTGTGTGGTTTGCTGGGACATTTCAGAAGGCGAGCAGAGAGTGTTCCATCACCCTCCTGACTTATGCCTTGAGGATGGTGGACTGGCTTTGGGAAGACCGGTCCATCAAATTCCCTGATCTGTCAATGATTACAACCACTCGACTGATTCTAATGAGTTCAGCTAACTTGGCCACCGAGTGGGACAATCAGAGCTCCACCCTGGGAAACGATGAAGGAGGGAAATTACCTTCCAGTTTGATGATTACCATATTGAGAGACATTACTGTGGAAGAGGACATGGGCTCATTCTGCCAGAGATGTTTCCAGTTGATGGGAGGCTGGTGTGTTCTCTCCATCCTGGGACTTTGATGTGGATGTGTCAGTCTCATTGCTGTCAGTCTGGAGTCACACATAAGGCCAGGTTGGTGAGGACATCTGCTTTCCCCACACACCTCAGGGCACCACTTGTGAACTAGATGGGTTTTTGGGAAAATTTGTCTCTACGGGGATGGGGTGGGATGGGGTAGGGAGGTGTGGTCTAAGTGAGATGCTGTTCAGAGGGTCAGTGCGGACTCAACGGGCCAAATGGCCTACAACTGGACAGGGATTAAATAAGTAGACTGGGTAGTAATGAAGGTGTTTGCCTTCATCGATCAGAGCATCGAGTACAGGAGTTGGGATGTCATTGTTATGGCTGTACAAGACATTGGTATGGCCACATACAAAGTACTGTGTACAATCCTGATTGCCCTGCTACAAAAAGGATGTTATTAAACTGGAAATGGTGCAAAAAAGATTTACAAGGATGTAACCAAGACTCGAAGGTTTCACTTATAAGGAGAGGCTTGATAGGCTGGGACTGGTTTCACTGGAGTGTAGGAGGTTGAGGGGTGACCTTATTAAGGTGCATAACATCATTAGGGGCATAGATAAGATGATTAGCCAAGGTCTTTTCCCCAGGGTTGTGGACTCCAAAACTAGAGGACATAGGTTTAAGGTGAGAGGGGACCTGAGGGGCAACTTTTTTCACAGAGAGGTTAGTGTGTGTATGGAACAAGCTACCAGAGTGGAGACTGGTACAATTACAACATTTAAAAGACATTTGGACAGGTACGTGGATAGGAAGAGTTTAAAGAGATATGGGCCAAATGGGACTACTTCAGTTTAGGAAATCTGGTTGGCATGGATCAGTTGGGCCAAAGGAATGGGAAATCGTGTCTCACTGACTCCAGACCCACAACAATGTAGTTGACTCTTAACTGCCCTCTGGGCAATTAGAGATGAGCACTAAATGCTGCCTGGTCAGCAATGCCCTCATCCCATCAATGAATAAAAAAAACTAACCTGACTGAGTTTTTCGAGGAAGTGACGAAGAGGATTCATGAAGGCAAAGTGGTGGGCATGGTCTATATGGACTTCAGTAAGGCATTTGACAAGGTTCTGCAGTGGTAGAGCTGGATGAACACAGCAGGCCAAGCAGCTCCATGATGCTGTTTGGCCTGCTGTGTTCATCCAGCTCTACATCTTGTTATCTCAGATTTTCCAGCATCTGCAGTTCCTACTATCTCTGCAGTGGCAGACTGGTTAACAAGGTTAGATCACATGGAATACAGGGAGAACTAGCCAATTGGATACAGAACTGGCATGAAGGTAGGAGACAGAGGGTGGTGGTGGTGGGTTGTTTTTCAGATTGGAGTACTCCTCTATCCTATCCCTGTAACCCTGTATTTCCCATGGCTAACCCAACTAACCTACACATCCCTGGACACTACAGGACAATCCACCCAAACCTGCACAGCTCTGGACTGTGGGAGGAAACCAAAGCACTGGGAGGAAACCCACACAGACGCAAGGAGAACATGCATAGTCCACACAGAGAGTTGCCCAAGGGTAGGATGAAACCCGGGTCCCTGATGCAGTGAGGCAGCAGTGCTAACCACTGAGCCACTGTGCCACCCAACAGATTACCACTTGAAAATGATCAGATCAGCCCACGATCTCACTGAACGGCAGTGCAGACTCTATCGGCCGAATGACCTATTTCCGCCTCTACGTCTCACAGTTTAGGACTTCATTCCCGGTGCTGATTATTTTGGAGAAGACTAGGTTGGGTCCCAGGACAGGCTTCACACTCAGGGGATGCTGGGTGTCGATGCTAACCTTGCTGTAAAAGCTGAGAAACTGATTCGAAAGTTGGCTGTGCTTTTCAGCCAGAAATCGATAACGGCGTCTCTCCTCGGCCAGGGCCTGTTTGTGGCTGTTGTGGAGAAATAATTCCAGGCTGGACTCCAGATTGTAGATCCTCTCCTGAAACACATCATGAACAGACACACATGTGAGCAAGGGAGGAAACAGGAGAGAAGAGCTACGGCAGGAGCAAAGTGTCCTAGGAACTGCTTAGGTTTAAACCAGGCCTCTGTCGCTTTGTTCAGGAAGCCCAAACATAGGGTCTCAATAATACAGTCTTAGTTTCCTGACTGGGAAATACTCTCCCAGGCAATCTGTTGTCCCTCTGTCCCTTATACGCGCAGGTTTTAATTTAACATTCTGAGTAATCTCACGGGATTAATTTGGAATTGGTACAGAACAGAAGGAGACCAGTCTGCCCATCACATCTGTGTCAACTCTGTGCCAAGAGTTGATTCCCTTCTCTCTATCATTCCAGGTAGCCCAGTTAATGTCTTCTGTTCAAGGCTTAAATCTTACTCCCTTTCTGTAAATATTTATTATGGGTAGTTTGTGGTCAGCCGCTCTTGAAATTTGTTTGCAGTTGCAGCTGCTATATGACCGCACCCAATGTTAAAGCGGGTTTTGAGCCTGTTTTCTCCGCGAGGGCATTTCATTGGGATATGCTCCTTCCCACAATCTCTGGCAATGTTTACATCCTCCTCGAAGGACATATTTCTCCTGCCTACTTGCTTTTGAATGATTCCTGACCACTTTCATTTCCCTCCTTTATCTTCACCAAACCCCAGAAACATTTCTTTAGTTGCTTTGCGAAGGAATTGACCAATTTAATGAAGAAATTAAGATGCTAATTTGATGCACTCTCTGCAGGACTTGAATAAGTGCCAAGAAACCACTGGGGAAAGATGGTAAAAAATTGTGGGACTTTTAGGGAGTCTGGAGATTGTACTGCTGGAAAATAACCAGACATCTGTAAGACAATCTCCAGATAAATGAACACTGGATCTTAAGAATTCATAAAGATAAAGTTTTAAAAAAGACATGAGGGGCAACGTCTTTACACAGAGAGCGGTTCATGTGTGGAATGAACTTCCACAGTAAGTGGTGGATGTGGGTACAGTTACAGTGTTTAAAAGACATTTGGATAAGGACATGAACAGGAAAGGTTTGGAGGGATTTTGGCCAAGCAAAGCCAGGTGGGATTAGTTAGACTGGTCGGACTGAAGGGTTTGTTTCCATGCTGTATGATTCTATGACTTTTAATGAGTAATAGGATTTAGTAAGACTATTGTTTTTCAGTTTGTATAATGAAATTATAATGGATTGTGAACACAGTTTTCTCGCAATCTTATTTGCTTGAATATCTCAAAGGTTTTACAGCGGATATAGTAATCACTACTGCAATGTTGCCTCAAACTGGATCTTACAGTAAATATCCATAAGCAATTACAAAAGGGTTGTAAGCCTCGAAGTTAAATCCCCACAAGACCACATTTGGATAATCCAGAATTCCTGGCTGGGCATCACATGCTGGTCTACGTCCCATGACACTTTCACTGGATGTAAACATCGTTGACAAGGCCAGCACTTGACAATCTATTGTCAAATATTAGCCAGGGATATGAAGAAATAGAGAGTTATCATGGTAGGATGTTGCTTGAACACATCATTGATCTCTAATTTTTCCTTTCTTCTTCTTACAAACTCTTTCGCTAGATTTCTTTCAACATGCTTCTTTTCAATTGAAAGGAATTCTGACTCCTTCCCGATTCTGTAGTCCCCAAACAACCTAAATTTATTTTATTTTCTGTTCCTTGCAGCAGGGCCTCACAAACCCCAGTGTTAATGTTGGAGATAATCACTGTGAGAGGTGAGAATTCTCTTTTACTTTCCCTCTCTGGTCCTTTGCATCGATTTTCATCAAGTTATTCCTTTACAGATCAATAAACTTTTATTCTGGAGCCTCCTTCACTAAGGCCTCTGCATTTTCAAAACGTGACTGGCTTTTCTCTGTTTCCCTCAGGCCCAGGGCTTCTTGTCACTTTAGTGAATGAAGTTTTTCCTTTGGAACAAAAACAGAAGTTGCTGGAAAAGCTCAGCAGGTCTGGCAGCATCTGTGAAGAAAAAATCAGAACGAGTGCTCGGGAAGGGTCACCGGACCCGAAACGTTAACTCTGATTTTTTTTTTTCCTTCACGGATGCTGCCAGACCTGCTGAGTTTCCAGCAACTCCTATTTTTGTTCCTGATTTGCAGCATCCGCAGTTCTTTCCGTGTCTCCCCCACTTTGGAGTGCTGAGCTTGCATTTTTGCTACTTCCAGGGCAGTGGCTCTCTTTCTCTGTCTGTAATCATGTTTCCGCTGCTAAGTGACCGTGTCTTCTCAACATGATAATGCTCTTAAAGTGGTAAACTAATTTGCTTCAATTGTTTTGATTTTCTCCTGTGTCTGCTGGGTGTATTTTCCTCATGGTTAAAATCAGTTAGGTGCTGTTTGCAACCATGCGGTATTATCCCTGCTGACCATTCCTAGTATTATGTGCTAGTTACCATCTCTATCAGTATGTGGTACTGACTTAGGGTACTTTGAGGTTGATAACTGTCACCAATTTTTCCTTTACCCTTGTTTTATTTTGGGCCTATGTAGCAGTTAGTTTTTTAAAAATTTATTCATGGGATGAGGGTGTCGCTGGCTAGGCAGCATTTAGTGCCCATCCTTAATTACCCAAAGGGGCAGTTAAGAGTTAACCACATTGTTGTGGGTCTGGACTCACATGCAGGATGACAGTTTCCTTCGCTAAATTGAATAAGTGAACCGGATGGGTTATTCCAGACAATCGTAAATCATTTCACGGTTATCATTAGACTCTTAGTTCCAGATTTTTTATATTGAATTCAAATTCAACAATCTGCAGTGGTGAGATTCAAACCAGGGCCTACAGAACATTACATGGGTGTCTCGATTAACAGGCCAGCGAAAATACCACTAGGCCATTGCCTCCCCAGTAGAGGATGTGTCACCCAGAGTGTGCATTGAGGGAAGATGCATTGCATGCTAGCAATGGACACAACTAAATTCTGTCACGCAGAGCAACTAGGATTTTATGGATCTGGTACAGATACATCTGCTGCCTCTCGAAGCTGGAGTAGAACTCCTTGACCCCGCTCTCAGACTGTGTGCGACATCAGTGGAATGGGTGGAGTCAATGTATCATGAACATTAACCCCTTCAGAACCATAACTTTAAACAACAATCGTAACCCATGCTCTCCAGTTGCGCACAACATTCTAAAGCCTAAAATATCATCATTATGCAGTTCTACAGACATATTGGCAGGAAGAATACTGGTTCTAGGGTGGCTAACACTGCTGCCTCACCACGTCAGGGACCCGGGTTCGATTCCATCCTCGGGCGACTGTGTGGAGTTTGCACGTTCTCCCCGTATCTGCATGGGTTTCCTCCGGGTGTTCCGGTTTCCTCCCATAGTCCAAAGATGTGCAGGTTAAGGTGGATTGGTCATACTAAACTGCCCTTTGTGTCTAGGGATGCGCAGGTTAGGTGGATAAGTCATGGTTAATACAGGGTTATGGGGATGGAGTGGGATGCTCTTCAGAGGATCATTGCAGACTTGATAGACTGAATGGCCTCCTTCTGCAGCTTAGGGATTCTATAGCTCTTTTTATTAATTTATTCAGTTAAGTTCATGCATTAACTCAACACATTGAGTTAAGTTGCTTCCCTTGTCTCTGACCAACTTGTGCTCAAATTCTCTGCGGTTAGTTACAATGGGGCTTGTCCTTTACCTAGTTGAGAATTGTCAGCAGTTTGGGTTGGAGGCGCTTGAACATTGTAATGACTGGCACCAGATAGACGTTTAATTATTAGGGAAAAACCACTGTAGCAAATATTACCCTTTAACTGTAGACAAAATTCCACTGAACAATTTGGGTGAGTCAATTGGCAGACCTTGACTAAACATCAATAAATTAAATCAGCAGTCTCAAAATCACTGATCTACTCTCCAGATTGGCACAGCTCCTTTACAGAGCAGTGCAGAAATAAACTCTTAACAGCCCTGACACAGAAGGATAGACAAACTGGTGAAATACACAGAGAAGCTCACATAGAAGCTGCTACACAAAAGGCAGTGGAGCCCAGGTAATCAATGTTGTCTAGAAGGCTTCATGTAAATACAAGTAATTGTTGTTACAAAACCTACAATTCTGTCTTGAAAGGCTTCGTCTCTGTAGTTTATGGTCTGTTACCCGGGACGCACAGCAAGACAAATATCGACTACACCTGGAGGACTATCGGTGAAAGATGCTCTTTGGTCTGCCCGAAACCTATTGACCCTCCAGAGCAAGGGGTTGACACCATCTGAGTTTACAGATTGGCACATTCCAAGGTTCAGGGACATACTAAAGCTTGGGGCAGCTGCTGCCAAAGAGCAGTGGGGGAAAGACCGCCGTCTAAGGATTTTCTGGAAAAGATAAATGGGGGTCTGTTCAGTTATCGGACCCTTCCGGGCCCTCAAATGCATGTAAATATAGTCAGGTTCAAGGAAGAGATGCCTTTGCTTTGTTTGGATTGAGTCAAACTCCAATGTTTGTTTGTTTCCTTGACATGCCACTGTACAGAACCGAACTGTGTTTGCGACTATATGTCATACAGCAGGAAACAGACCCTTCGGTCCAACCAGTCCAAGCTGAACATAATCCCAAGCTAAACTAGTGCCACCTGCCTGCTCCTGGCCCTTATCTCTCCAAACCTTTCCTATTCATGTATTTATCCAAATGTCTTTTAAACATTGTAATTGTACCCACATCCACCACTTTGTCCAACATATCATCTCAAAAATGTGGCTTTTATAGGAATGCACACCCAGTGTTCCCACTGAGTGCCCTTCACTTACTTGCATGTCTCTGGTCTGTGAGCTCCTCATTCTCTCCAATTGCCGGAGCTCTGCATTTGCCCTGCCCAGGACCTCAATCTGTTTCCTATGTTCCATTTCAAATCGATGTTTACTTTCCTGCATAGAAAGAGAACCATTTGTAATTTTTGCTTAAAGAACTGGATTGTTCTGGGAGCAAAAGAATAGAGTCTACAGCAGATATTCTCACATTCAGGGTTGCTCCCAGAAATAAACCCTCCGTCCCCTATGATCTGGACTTTGTGATGAAGGGTCTAGGCCCGAAACGTCAGCCTTCCTGCTCCTATGATGCTGCTTGGCCTGCTGTGTTCATCCAGCCCTGCACCTTGTTACCTGCAGTTGAATGATATTGTTTTATTATTGGAGCACTTATAAGGAGAGGCTATCTCCATGACCATGGAAATTCAACACTCAATTTTTATCAGTTTCTTTTCTGGGACGTTACTTTGTTACAATGCCCCTTTGAGGGGACATTATCTGTCTGTTTCATTTCATTCCATTCCACTGATTTATTCAAAATGAGTGGTACCCCCTTTAAGGGGCTGTCTCCTGCTTTATTTTATTTACAGTTGAGGGTCATTTTCCTTGGTACAGAAGAGGCTGAGTTAATTGAGGTCTCCAAAGTAATGAGGGGCTTAATGGATAGAGTGAAGACCCCTAGAGGATAGCTCATTAGCCGTGGGCACAGATTAAAGGTAGCAGGATTAACAAAGTTGGTGATACCCAGAGGCTAGGGGTGTCTCAACCAGTTTGGTGGTTGAGGTGAACCTTTGAAACACTCCAAACTGCAGGGCTACAGACCAAGCGACGAAAATTTGGGCTTAAAATGGGCAGACAGTTCATTCAGATAGCACAGACTTGACAGGCCAAATGGCCTCTTGCTGTGCTGTAAGCTGCTGTGGTTCTACAGCTTATTCAGGCCTCCAGCCGTTGAGAGTTAAACCTCAGAAAACTGAATCCTAACAGGAAAACCGTACGACAGTCAAGAGCAATATCTCCTTTCTGGGCAAAACTCCCAAAACCCGGCATTCCTTCCCTTTGCCTCTACCCATAAAGTTTGGAGTGAAATGAGCCAGTACTCTGCAGTCTTACGCTGATGTCACAGTCCCCAAAGTGAAAGACTCTTGAATGCAGGAAGTTTGTGTCGGTTCACTCACACTGATGTACTTTATGTCCAGCTGTGTATTACGATCCATTTCCTGTAGGAGATCATCATTGAATCTCCGAAACTGCAAAAGTAAACACCAAATATTAAAACAATGGGGCCAGTTGTGAAGCTTCAAGATCAACAGTATTGGAGCATTTGTGTATAGGATGTAGAATGACTCAGTGATCCTTCAAAAAACATGGCATTTGGTTAGAAACTTGACAGAATTGAATGCAAGCCTTGTTGTATAAATAATTAATGCACACTTTTTTTTATTAATTTGATCATGGGAATATGGCTGGGTCTGCATTTATTGCCCATCCCTCATCATCCAGAGGGCAGTTAAGAGTCAGCCACATTGCTCTGGGTCTGGAGTCACATGTAGGCCAGACCAAGTAAGGATGGCAGATTTCCTTCCCCAAAGAATCATAGAATCCCTACAGTTCAGATAGAGGTTATTTAGCCCTTCGAGTCTGCACCGACCCTCCAAAGAACATCCCTCCCAGACACAGCACACACAGCCCCTGCGCCCCCCCAACACTATCCCCTAACCCTGCATTCCCCATGGCTAAACCTCCTAGCCTGCATATCCCTGGACACTATGGGACAATTTAGCATGGCCAATCCACCCTAACCTGCACATCTTTGGACTGTAGGAGGAAACCGGAGCACTCGGAGGAAACCCACACCGACACAGAGAGAAAGTGCAAACTCCACACAGTCACCCAAGGGTGGAATCAAACCCGAGTCCCTGGTGCTGTTTAAATCTGGGCAGATAGATGATAGACTGATCACTCGAGAGACGGGCATAGGTACATAGATAAACAAATAATTGAATTATTGGAAAGTTGCCCGAGCTGAGTTGCAATGACAATATGAAGAAAATAAGTAATCAAAATTGAAATATAGTTTTGTAAAGACTTCATATGTAATATTATTTGAGGACTTGGGTTTGGAAGGATTGTGGAAAAATGAAATTGGTGCAAGTTCTGTGGAGCTACCTGGGCTTTTTATTTTTGAAGTTCAACAAAAAAAAGATACTGGATTTTTATTTCAAAGAGACATTTATTAAAAACCACATGGTCCCAGATAATTGTTGGTGTTGCTTGAACTCACGTTGGTGAAAACAGCTGACTGCTCTGATGACCGAGAGTGAGCGAGCTATAGTTGAGGAGAAGTCTGCTGAATGAATGAAGCTTCTCAGCTCAGTTCTATTCCTGCTGGGAAAGATCCCTTGTGGATCCAGTGTGCTACCAGGAGCCCTAGTCTAGCCACTCTCATGTGAGAAGCCTCGACACGAGATCATTGATAATTTCTTGAATGACTACATCTGCAAAGGTGCCCCATGACAACTCTACATGTTCAGTGCCATCTGTCTTGGAGCACAGAATACATTCTTAACAGTCTTCCCTGCACCTCAAATCCTGTCCTTTATTCTTTAAGAACTATTTGTTTCCCTTTGCCCTGTGTGGGGATGTGTTTGTTTTGTGTGTTTCTAGAGGGGTAGATATTTATACTTTCATATTACAAACAGTGTTAACCAGTTTTGCATCACCATTAAATTAATTAAGGACTCCGGCTATGCAGTGGTAGCGTCCCTACCACTGATCCAGGAGGCCCAGGTTCAAGACCAAGCTGTTCCAGAGGTATGAAATAACATCCCTGAACAGCTTCATAGAGTCATAGACATGTACAGCATGGAAACAGACCCTTCAGTCTAACTTGTCCATGCCGACCAGATATCCTAAATTAATCTAGTCCCATTTGCCAGCATTTGCCCCATATCCCTCTAAACCCTTCCTATTTACATACCCATCCAGATGCCTTTTAAATGTTGTAATTGTACTAGCCTCCACTACCTCCTCTGGCAGCTCATTCCATACATGCACTACCTTGTGTGTGAAAAAGTTGCCCCTTAGGTCTGTTTTATCTCTTTCCCCTCTCACCTTAAACCTATACACTCTAGTTTTAGACTCCCCCACCTAACTATCCATGCCCCTCATGGTTTTATAAACTTCTACAAGGTCATTTCTCAGCCTCCAATTAGTAAAGAGTTTCAACTGAGTCTTATTTTATATTAAGCCAATCATGTTTTGGTTATTATGGAAGGCTGGTTCACAGTTTATTTTCTTCTAAGCCTAAAGTATACAATTAGTCACATGAGGAATTAGGTAAGACGATTAAATTTATGTTGTGACATGTGGAGTACAAGAACTAGAGAAAGTTAATGTGTTCCTCCCAGTCTCAGCCCTAACAACAGTTATAGCCAATCTGTACAATAAAATAAAGTATAAAATCATAAAAGGTTTGCACAACTATGAACATTTCAGCATACAGATAAATTCAAGAGTTTGTAGCTTCATTTAAAAGGTATTTAAATTGTTCAATATTTAACCACTATCAAAATATTCACTAGTATCTTAATCCCATTGTAATAAGTTTTTGCCCGAGCCAACATTATGTTAGGTATAATAATGACACAATTAGCTTACGTTGCCCTGAATCAGGGGTAAGAGAGATTGCCTTCAGTATCTATCCAATTACCCTGCTTCAAATGCACCCAGGTCAGAAATCACCTGGTCTGTGATTCACTTCGTGGTAGAACAGCCAGTGTTTGGGCCTACAACCTTTGATGAATGTTTACTAAATGTCATTGATTTAATCTGATGCCAATGTGATTGGGTAAAAGCAGGTTTGCAATAGTTAATGTAAAAATGATGGATCGAATGATCACAGATCAGCTACTCCCTTTAAGTAGATCGTTTCCCTCTATCCCATGGGCTCCTGGCTGGTTCCCAGTTCCATCCATCAATCCAGTCCTAGAATAATGGATGGCTTTGCAGAATTCCTTAACAGCCTGATGCTTGTGTCTTCAGAACAGGAAGGCTGGAAGAGGAGGTGATCCAATAAAGTGATTGAATGGGATGAGAATAGGCAGAAGGGCATGGGTTTAACCCTCAAACAGGAGACGTGAGCAGCAAGTTGGCAGTCGGAGTGCAGTACTGAGGGAATGCAGCACTGTCTTGGAGAGTGTGCGCTGTGGGGGGCTTCAGGGGATCTGTGTAATCTGAAATTTTGACTCATTGAAAACAGAAAATACTTACAATTACTTCCAGGTCATTGCTGAGTTGCCTCTGAGCATCTGTCATCTGCAACAAGACCTGACCTTAACAAGGACAGGAGAACAAACAAGAAAATCAATTCATTGAGGAATAATGACCTGCTTTGAAACTAATTCACAAATTAGAAGGTAAAAGCAAACAGAGGAGTCCTGGCAGATAACACATTGTGGCCTTTGTATTATGGTAGCTGCTGTATGCTCTAACATTAACCCTAACCCTAACACAATCCCCACCATCATCCGAACATGATGACCTTTCCAAAAGTCAACTGCCATGTTTCATATTACCACAATCTTTAAAAGCGAGCTACCTGCAAAAAACATTGGCTAATGTTTTGTAACCCTCCTCTGAAGCACTTGGGGATGATTTACCATGCTAAAGTTGCTATATAAATGCAAACTGTTATGGATTTTTTTTGTGATGTTCTTCCTAACATCAGACAGAAGTGACCTTTTCCCAATTTAGTTTGCATCTGTTTTGTTCCAATCTTTAAACTGAGGCTTACAGTGTTCTGGGACTTACCCTGATTGTACTGTGTAGAATGGAGTTACCATTCACCAGAAACTGAATGGAATGGGCTTGCCATATAAAAACTGTGGCTGCATGAGCAGGTCAGAGGCTGGGAATTCTGTGATGAGTAACTCACCTCCTGACACCCTCAAACTGGTCCACCAGTCAGGAGTGTGATGGAATACTCCCCAGTTGCCTGGATGCTTGCAGCTCCAACAACACTCAAAAACAAAGCTTGACGCCATCCAGGACAAAGCAGCCCACTTGGTTGGCACCACATCCACAAACATCCACTCCCTCCACCACCGACGCTCAGTAGCAGCAGTGTGTACCACTGGAGGTGCTGGTGTTGGACTGAGGTGGACAAGGTCAGAAATCACATGACACAAGGTTATAGGTTTATTTGAAATCACAAGCTCTTGGAGTCTTACTCCTTCTTCAGGTGTCAATGAGAGGCAGTATCAGACACAGAATTTATAAGTAAAAGATCAAAGGGTCACACCATTGATGAGGTGTTATAATGCTGTTATATCTTTAATCAGTTAGAAGGTTTTAACTGATTAATATGTACATGTAAATCCCCAAATTCCTTCAAGTCACTGTCCTGAGAGAACTAAAGGTTTTATCAGTGTAAAGAAGAGGTGACATTTTAGGTCAGACAATGCATGTTAGGTGTGAGGCCTTGTTTAGAATCTGTTTATGTTTTGGTTTGGAGTCAGACTGGTTTTATTTCTAAAGTAGGAATTTATAAAATGCCACATTGACTGACTGTCTATAAATTGTGTGCTTTTTGAACAAAATAGAAGGTATCGGCAAATACAAATTCACCCCACAGATTCACACGTGTGTGTGTGTGTGTGTTTGAGTGTGCGCGTGTGTGTGTGTGTGCGCGCGTGTGCGCATGTGTGTGTGTGTGCACGTGTGTGAGAGTGTGTGTGTCTGCGCGCATATGTATGTGAGCATGTGTGAGTGTGCGCACAGGTGTGTGTGTGCGCCTGTGTGCACGCATGTGTGTGTGTGCGCGCATGTGTGAGTGTGTGCGTGTGTGTGTGTGTGTGCACGTGTGTGTGTGTGTCTGCGCACATATGTATGTGAGTGTGTGTGCGCATGTGTGAGTGTGCACGCGTGTGCGCACGTGTGTGCCTGCGCATGTGTGTGTGTGCATGTGTGTGAGTGTGTGTGTGTCTGCGCGCATATGTATGTGAGTGTGTGTGAGCATGTGTGAGTGTGCGCGCGCATGTGTGTGTGCGCGCACATGAGTGTGTGTGTGCGCATGTGTGTGTGTGTGCGCATGTGTGTGAGAGTGTGTCTGCACACGTGTGAGAGTGTGTGTCTGCACACGTGTGAGAGTGTGTGTGTCTGCACGCATATGTATGTGAGTGTGTGTGAGCATGTGTGAGTGTGTGTGCGCGTGTGTGTGCACATGTGTGAGTGTGTGTGCACACCTGTGAGTGTGTGTGTGAGTGTGAGAGAGTGTATAGTGTGGTGGGGTCACCTGTAGGCGACATGAATCCAAGATCCCGGTTGAGGCCGTCCTCATGGGGACCAAACTTGGATATCAGCCTCTGCTCGGACCAGTGGCAGAGAAGCTACGCCATGTTCTTCATAGCCTTCAACACATTATCGACGATGATAAGCATTTCGCCAAGATCTTCCCTACGCCTCCACTTCTCGCCTTCAAACAACCACCAAATCTTAAACAGACCATCATTCGCAGCAAACTACCCAGCCTTCAGGACAACATCGACCGCAACACCACATGGCAACCTCAGTAAGGTATGTCAGAACATCAACATGGAAACTACCATCACATGTGGGAACACCACCCACTGTGTGCACGGCAGATACTCATGTGGCTTGGCCAATGTTGACTATCTCATACGCTGCAGGCAAGCATGCCCCAAGGCATGGTATATTGGCGAGACCATACAGATGGCTATGACAACAGATGAATGGAGATCTCGCAACAATCACCAGAAAGGGATGTTCCCTCCCAGTTGGGGAACACTTCAGCGGTCAAGGACATTCAGCCTCAGATCTTTTGGGTAAACATCCTCCAAAGCGGACTTTGGGATACCCAACAACGCAGAGTCACCGAGCAGAGGCTGATAGCCAAGTTCGGTTCCCATGAGGGCAGCCTCAGCTGGGGTCTTGGGTTCATGTCACACCACAGGTGACCCCCACCACACCTTCTCAAGGGCACCTAAGTACTGGGATAAAATGCTGGCCAGCCAACAATACTTGTGTCCCATTCCTGTAAAATGCCTTGCAGTGGAATGGATAGAGTCCCTATCTCTGAGCCAGGAGCTCCGGGGTTAAGTCGCACTCTGGGCCTTGATGCCAAAAGAAGGTGTCTTCATAATGTGGCCAAACAGGTTACATATCAACTCATAAAACCATTCCAATGTACTCAAAGATAGTAGGAACTGCAGATGCTGGAGAATCTGAGATAACAAGGTGTAAAGCTGGATGAACACAGCAGGCCAAGCAGTATCGGAGGAGCAGGAAGGCTGACGTTTCGGGCCTAGACCCTTCTCAATGACAGCCAGTAACAGTGGGAGAGATTCTTGGTCAGCTGGAGAGAACTCCAGAGCCTCTCTCATCACTATTCATAGATCCAGGACTGCAACATGTAGGTCAAAGTGCATGTTGCCGCAGCAACCCGATCTCCTGGTGGTCAGACCCGGGAGACAGCTGGTATGGATCTGATTGGTGGTGGCAACATGGGGATCAGTCACTATTCCAGTCGGGGGTGCATTCGGGACCTGCCTCCTTGCCCTCCCAGTGGTGGATATTGTGGTGCTATGGATCAATCCAAACTTAGGAAAGAGAACACAAGGAGGAGCAATTTTATGTCGGACTAAAGAACCTCATTTCTCCAGTTTGATTTCACACTCAATCACGGGGAGGGGAGTCAGCTTCTTTGGTTTTGACCCCACTCCTTCTGATCACTCAGCTCAGTCAGTTTACAAGACATGAATTATAGTTTGACCCATCGATTGTGCAATTTGATCAACGTGACCCTCTGCTTTATCGTCCGCAGGTCTATTCACTCGATTTATGGCTACGCCAAAATAGTGTCGATCTCGTCCTAACATTGAATTCCTCCACAGCTTTTCCTGCACTGTGTGTTATGTTATTGAACACATTCCAGACCAGACAGGCAGCGTATCTTTAACCCAGGTGCATGACATTACAATGTGCCTACGAAGGCACCTATCTCCCCTGCATTCACTTTCTCAGTCAGTGTCTTGTGTTCAGTTAGGTGCATGTAATACCTGTAAGCATAGAGTGCAGACTATGCATAAGTCTGTGATATTAGGACTATGTAAATAGTGCGCGTTGTTCATAAATGTCAAGACATCTGTCTCAACAAAAAGGGTGGCACACTGGCTCAGTGGTTAGTACTGCTGCCTCACAGCACCAGGGATCTGGGTTGGATAGAGTGACTGACTGTGTGGAGTTTGCATGTTCTCCCCGTGTCTGCATGGGTTTCCTCCGGGTGCTCTGGTTCCCTCCCACAGTCCAAAGATGTGCAGATTCGGTGGATTGGCCATTGTGCTAAATTGCCCCATAGCATCCGGGAATGTGTAGGCTAGGTGCATTGGCCATGGGAAATGCAAGGTTACAGGGGTCGGGAAGAGGGTTGTGTCTGGGTGGGATGTCCTTCGGAGGTCGGTGTGGACTCGATGGGCCAAATAGCCTGCTTCCACACTGTACGGAATCTATCATCTAAGAACCTGATCTTTGGCAGTACTGAAATTTGTGGTGTATGTTGCATGAGCTAACACCAAGCAAGATTCAGTCCATGTCATACTGATAGTAGTATTTGGCCTAAGAAACCACATCACTGCAGCGCCTTGCATTCATCTCCCTCATTGCATCCATATGCTTGACTTTGCCACCTACCCCCAAATAGCAGGACACATGGTATGGTGACCTTCATAGCGAGAGGATTTGAGTACAGGAAGCAGGGATGTCTTGTTGCAATTCTACAGATGAGACCACACAGGTTCTGCTGAAGGATCGCTGGACACAAAACGTCAATTCTGCTTTCTCTCCACAGATGTGCTGAGTTTCCCCAGCAATTTCCAGATCTTCAGCATCGGCAGTTTTTTGTTGTATTTCAGTAAAGGACTAGACGGGGTAAAGACAGGAAGGATGCTCCTGATGACCAGGGAATCCAGAACCAGGCGGCACAGGTTAAGGTTAGGATAAACTATTTAGGAATGAGATGAGGAGAAATGTCTTCACCCAGAGAGTGTGGAGCGTGAGGAATTCTCCACCACAGAACGTGGTTGAGGCCAAAACATTGAATGTTTTCAAGAAGCTGGATTTTGTTCTTACGGCTGAAGGGATCAAAGGGTACGGGGAGAAAACAGGAACAGCAGACTAATTGGATGATCAGCCATGATCATACTGAATGATAGAGCAGGCTTGAAGGGCTGAATATCTTCCTTCTATTCCAGTTTTATCTATTTCTATGTTTCAAATTGGACAGAATGAAGCTGGTCTTGATGTAGAATCATAGAACCCCTATGGTGTGGAAACAGGTCCTTCAGCCCAACATAGTCCACACTGAACCTCAGAGCATCCCACCCAGACCCATCCCTGTAACCCACCTAATCTACACGTCCCTGAACACTATGGGCAATTTAGCATGGCCAATCCACCTAGTCTAGACATCTTTGGACTGTGGGAGGAAACCGGAGCACCTGGAGGAAACCTGCACAGACACTGGGAGAAAGTGCAAACTCCACACAATCAGTCACCTGAGGGTGGAATTGAATCCCGGTCCCTGGCGCTGTGAGGCAGCAGTGCTAACCACTGAGCCACCATGCTGTCCCCATGACATGATGAGGCCAGGTTCGATCCTAGAGGGTGCTCTCAGCGATCACTCCAGGATCTACTTGTCACAGCAAAACAACCTAAAGCATCACTGGGCAGGCAACAGCTTAGTGGTATTATCATTGGACAGTTAATCCAGAGACCCAGGTTCAAATCCCACTGTGGCAAGTAATTGAATTTGAATTCAATAAATAAATTCTGAAATTAAGAGGCGAATGTTGACCATGGATCCATTGCCAATTGTCAGGAAAAACCCATCTGATTCACAAATCCACTTTAGGGAAGGAAGCAGCCATCCTTGCCTGGTCTGGCCTATATGTAACTCCAGACCCACAGCAACATAGTTGACTCTAACTGTCCTCTGGGCAATTAGGGGACAGGCAATAAATGCTGGACGAGCTATCCTGTGACTGAATTAAAAAAAGATCATATTGAGTAGCAGGGTACATTCATAGGGCTGATGGCCTACTCCTGCTTCTAGTTTCTGGGTCTCTAAATTAAAAATGCCCATTCACCTTACACTATGATCACACCGAAGTCTGCAGCTTATTACAGTGCATGAGCATGGAGAAACAGTAAGGAAATAGTCATTTTGTACTTTATGGTCCCCTGCGGGAGATAAGGAACTATCACGATGACCACATTTTATGAGTCTCTGATTCTCTCTCCCTTCCAATCCACGAGCCCCCAGCCAGATAACACACGATATCGTTGCGTAGCAACGTGTGATTATTGCAGTGTGGAAACAAAGGTCCAGGTCAAAGCGCTCGGTTTCTCTCTTAAACAGTCAGGCTGCAATGTTCAGGCCGGTGATTTTTGGGGATTCCATCTCTCACAGTAAAGGGAATACTACATCACAGGTTGTAGGTTGGTTGGCCTGAGGAAGTGTTGATTACCCACTGTCTACTAGTTTGTCTGACTCTAGTTCCCCCTTTGTGGATGAATCGTGACTCAAATCAGCCATCAAACGTGGACATTTTCCAAAGGAAACTTTAATGGCAGACGTTAAGTAATGTCAGTCAGTTTGAAGACCCTCTCAGCCTAATGCAGCCACTTCATTTAGGTAGAAATGGTGTGGAAATATGGGGAAAAGGCAAGGGGATTGGGCTCACCGAACTGGTACAGCCCCGATGGGCTGAATGGCCTCATTCTGCACTGTAACAATGCAGTGATCAGACAGAAAAGTGAGAGACATGATTTAAAACACAAACAGAGATGAGGAGATAACAAGGTGTAGAGCTGGATGAACACAGCAGGCCAGGCAGCATCAGAAAAGCAGGAAAGCTGACGTTTCAGGTCTGGATCCTTCTTCAGAAATCCCATTTCTGAAGAAATGTCCAGACCCGAAACGTCAGCTTTTCTGCTCCTCTGATGCTGCTTGGCCTGCTGTGTTCATCC